TGATTTAACTGATGTTCCCTCACATAACCCAGATGGCTCATCCTACTACCTGCAAGGACAGTGATGGTCTGGGTATGCTGTGGTGAGATGGGGACAGGTAATAGAAGCACAACCACTCTCAGAAAGGATGAGCACACAAGGAGCAGAGATAGTAGCTTTGATGTGTGCAGCACATCCAGGAAAATGGAAACAAGTTAACCTCTATATGAATAAGACAGAGGTGCTCATTTTACAGCAAATATAATCAAACCGTTTTACCTAGTTTCAGCTAGAATAGTTAATTTCTTTTCAGTAGCTGTTACAGTGCTGTGTTTTGCATTCAGAATGAGAATGGTGTTGATAACACACTGATATTTTGGCATTTGCTAAGTTGTGTGTATCCCAATTGAAGGACTTTTTTTTTGTCTCATGCTCTACCAGTGAGGAGGTACACAAAAGAAACTGAGAGGGAGCATAGCCAGGACAGGTGACCCAAACTGACCAAAGGGATATTCCACACCATAGAATGTCATGCCCTATATATAAACTGGGGGTCCTATATGGGTTCAGGAAGGGTGGTCTGGCATTGGTGAGCAAGTAGTAGGCAATTGTATTGTGCATCACTTCTTTTTCTCTTTTTATTATAATTATTATTGTAATTTAATATTATTACTGTATTTTTACTTTCTTTTCAATTATTAAACTTCTCATCTCAACCTACAAGTTTTACTTTGATTCTCCTCCCCATTCCACCTGGTTGGGGGGGGGAGAGAGGAGGGTTGAGCGAGCATGGTGCTTAATTTCCAGCTGGGCATAAACCATGACACAGTTGTATAAGACTCTGAGGATAGAGAGAAAATTACATTCACCATATTGCCCATAATATTTAGGACAAGTAGTAAGGATGAATAGAACATTAAAAGAAAAGATAGCAAGAATATGTGCATGCACTAATCTGAAATGGCCAGAAGCCTTTACTTTGGCTCTGTGGGGTGTCCTGAATACTTCGAGACAACCCATAGAACTAATACCAGCAGAATTTCTCTTTGGGAGACACTTAGCTATACCAGGAACATATCCCAGCTTAGACCAGCCTGTTGGATAAAGGCCTGACCCAGTATGTTTTAAATATAAAGAAAGGGTTTGAGGAGCGGAGAAAGTATGCACAATGGTACCAACCCAGCCTACCTGAAATTCAAGTACATGATAAACAACCTGGGAATGAAGTGTTAATCAAGATATCCTCACAAAAATCCAAAATACAACCTAAATGGGAGGGACGATATGCTGTCTTACTGTGTTCTTGTTTTGCTGTTAAAGTTTTGTGTAAAGATAACTGGATACACCGTTCTTATATCAAATGAGTAATGAATGATCAAACAGGGACCCAGAAGAAGAATGATTTTAAGTGGGGTCCTGAACATCAACAAACTTTTCAACAAATTAAAAAGAAGATTGCTCATGCAGTAGCCCTTGGGCCAGTCAGGACCAGAAAAGATGTGAAAAATGCGCTCTACGGTGCAGTCAGGGAGAATGGTCCTTCCTGGCGTCTCTGGTAAAAAGTACTTGGGGAGACTCGAGGGTGACCCCAGGGGTTCTGGAGTCAGGGATACAAAGGATCCAAGGCCTGTTACACTCCAACTGAAAAAGAGATACTGGCAACTTATGAAGGGATTCAAACTGCTTCAGAAGTGATAGACAACGAAGCACCCATCTGGGCTACTGAACTGTGGCAAGACATCCCTGCTCAGGTAGAGAAGTTGCCTATGAAAGTCCTTCATCAGATAGGAGCTGTTGTTTTTTTTCCTGGGGGTTTTTCCCTTATTCCCGTTCCTGTTTGTTTTCTTTCCCTGGCAGTGGTCCTTGTGCACATCGGGGGAGAGAGAGGACTGTGTTACATGAATTCTGACCAATTGCAGAGCGTGAGTCTCGTTTTTTCATTGGGAGAACTTTCTGTTTGTTGCTGTTTCCTTTTCCCCCCTCTCCCTCTCTCCTTTCCCAGTGTGTGAGAAGGGAAGGGGGGCCCAGTTTTTTTTTGGTTTCTCCGGCATACCCTGGTGACTGGCACAGGACATTACAGGTCTCTGCATCTCCAGTGATCCAATAGCGCCACCTGGTGACTGGTACAGGACATTACAAGCTCTGCATCTCCAGTGACCCAACGGCACCCCCTGTTGACTGTGGTTGGAATTGCACCAAAGGGTACAAACAGAACTGTTTACTTTTTCCCTTTTGCCTGTTTATTGGTTTGTTTTTTGAAGGGGATTATTTGTGGGTATAGAAGTATTTGGTTGTTTTACTTGTTTCTTTTTGTTGTTTCTACTAATACACACATACCTATTAATAAAGGGCTGTTATTTTTTTCCTTTTTCCATAATTTGTTTTCCCTCAATGGGAGCCTCTTAATTTCGGATTTATAATTGCTTAGAGGGAGGAGTTTGGGTCTTTTTCTCATAACTCATCCTCAGCAAAAGACCCTTGTCTCATTTAAACTGGGACACAAGATTAATTTGTCTCAGGTGGATTTGGACTGGAAACATAAGGGTGAATTATTTCTGGCTCGGTGGGCCCATGATACCTCAGGTCATCAAGGAAGAGATGCAACATACAGATGGGTTTGTGATCGAGGGGTGGACTTAACCATGGACACTATTTCCCAGGTTATCCATAACTGTGAAACGTGCTGCAATCAAGTAGGTCAAGCAGGTTAAGCCTCTGTGGTATGGTGGGTGTCCCAGTTTAAATGAGACAAGGGTCTTTTGCTGAGGCTGAGTTAGGAGAAAAGACCCAAACTTCTCTTTCTAAGGTTCCGATTGAAGGAAAACAAATTATGGAAAAAGAAAAATAACAGCCCTTTATTAAAATTAAAAGGTATTTGTGTATTAACAGAAACACACAAAAAAAAAAACAAACAAGTAAAAAAAAACAAGCAATACTCCTATACCCACCAATAATCCCCTTCAAGAACAAACCGATAAACCAGCAAAAGGAAGATTAAACAGTTCAATTTTTGTGCCCCTTGGTGCAATTCCAACCACAGTCAATAGGAGGCGCTGTTGGGTCACCAGAGATGCAAGACTTGTAATGTCCTGTACCATTCACCAGGTGGCACTGTTGGGTCACTGGAGATGTAGAACTTGTAGTGTCCTATAGTAGCCACCAGGTGGCGCTGTTGGATCACTGGAGGTGCAGAACTTGTAATGTCCAGTAAAAAAACAACAACAAAACAACAACAAAAACACCCCTCGGTTCCCCTTCCATTCCCACACTGGGACAGGAGAGAGGGAGTGGGGGGGGGGGAAGGGAAAGGAAAGGAAAAAAAACCAGCAATCAAACAGAAAGTTCTCTCAATGGAAGAAAACTCACGATCTTCAGCTGGTTAGAGTTCGCTTTAAGCAGGACCTGCAACCAGCAACAGCTGAGCAGAGAGCAGCAGCAAACTCCCCTCCGACAGGAAAAAAAAAACAAGGCAGCATCTGCAGCTCGCAGCAGGTCCCAAGCCCACCGGCCCACTAGCCTCTCCTCCCAACCTGCGTGCCAGCCACACCCCCAGCCCACCAAAAAATTCCTCCTCTCCCATTGCCCCGGAGACAAGAGAAAAATGTAGACTTTAGATCCTTCATCTGCCTGTTTCCTAGGAGACTGATCTCTCGGCCAATTCTTTTGTTCACCTGATAGCTACCTGATGGCCTATACACAGGGCACACACGGCAGGGGGAAGGGAAAGAAAAATTCCTTGCTAAAATCGGAACTATGACAGTGGGCAATGGTTAAAACATAAAATGGGGAGGCCTGGCAGATTGATTACATTACACTCCTGGAAACCCACCAAGGCAAGCAATACATGCTTACAATGTTAGAAGCAACGACTGGATGGCTGGAGACATACACTGTGCCTCATGCCACTGCCTGGAATACCATCTTGAGTTTTGAAAAGCCAGTTTTGTGGCAACATGGCACCCCAGAAAAAATTGAGCATGTGTAGCAGGTTGACCCTGGTTGGATGCCAGGTACCCACTAAAGCCACTCTCTCCCTCTGAAACTGGACACAGGAAAAAGAAAAAAAACAACTAAGGATTCACGAGTAGAGATAAGAGCTGGGACAGTTTAGTTACTGATTACCTTCATGGGCAAAACAGACTCAAAGTGGGGATAGTACTTAAATTTATTACTAACAGGATAAGAGCCAAAGAGTGAGAAATAATAATGGCCAGTCTTCGCGAGCGAAGATCCAGGGAAGGTCTTTACACCTTCCAGCCTGCGCATTGGATTTTTTAGGTGAGACACAGTGTGCGCAGAACTGAGCCCACCCTTTAATCCTAAGGTTCATCTGCTGGGGCCAAGCGAGCTTGGACGGTGGCAGCGAGGTCCTCAGGACATAGATGGGTTGCCTTTCAGGGCTAACGAGCTCCATCTGCCCGGGAGTGGCCCTGACCGGGAATCGAACCCGGGCCTCGGCGGTGACAGCGCCGCGCCTTTACCACTAGACCACCAGGGGCTCCGAAAGAGTGAGAAATAAAATAATCTTAAAAGCACCTTCCCCCCACCCCTCCTTCCTTCCATGTTCTCCCTCCTCCCCCCAGCAGTGCAGGAGGACAGGGAATGGGGGTTACAGTCAGTCGTTGTTTCTGCTGCTACTCAGAGACAGGAGTCATTTCCCCTGCTCCTGTGGGGTCCTTCCCATGGGAGACAGTCCTTGATGGACCTCTCCAGCGTGAGTCCATCCCTCGGGCAGCAGTTCTTCATGAAACTGCTGTCCCATGGGTCACTCCTCCACAGGGTGCAGCTCTTCACAAATGAGCTTTACCAGCAAGGGTCCCCCACAGGGGCCACAAGTCCTACCCAGGAAAAACCTACTCCAGCATGGGTTTCCCTCTCCACAGGTTGCAGGTCTCCGGCAGGACCCTGCTCCATCTTAGGCCTCCCACGGGGTCATAGCCTCCTTCATGCATCCACCTGCTCCCTCATGGGCTTCTCCATGGGCTTCAGGTTGGTCTCTGTACCCTGATGGTCCTCCATGGACTGCAGGGGGACAGCCTGCTCCAACATGGTCTTCACCACGGGTTGCAGGGGCCTCTGCTCTGACACCTGGAGCACCTCCTCCCCCTCCTTCTGCACTGACCTTGATGTTTACTTTGTTGTTCCCATGTTCTCACTCTGCTCTTCCTTGGCTATAATTTCTTCTGCGCAACAACTTTCTGTTCTTAAATATGTTATCACAGAGGCGTTACTATTACTCCTAATTGGCTTGGCCTTGGCCAGTGGCAGGAAGTCCATCCTGGAGCCGGCTGGCATTGGTTTCACAGGACAGGGGAAGCTTCTAGCAGCTTCTAACAGAAACTACCCCTGTAGCCCCCCCCCACTACCAAAATTGAGCCACAGAAACCCACTACAGTGAGACAACATGACTCATTTCAAAACTAGCCTCATAAAGACCTGGGTCAGACAGTTGGTTATATCATATTCCCTATCATGCACCAGCCTCTGGGCAAGTTGAATGGTACAATGGACTGTTAAAAACTACCTTGAAAGCACTGGGTGAGGGAACCTTCAAACATTGGGTCTATATTAAGCGAAGGACACCTGGTTAGTTAACGCTAGAAGCTCTACCAATTGAACTGTGCAGACTGTGGGAACTTGAGGTAAGTGCAGACGGCAACAACAAAAAGATGCTAATTCTCGGCCTGGTGAGGCAGATCTGGGTAACTTATCTGGACAAAAATTCCAACTGTGGCAAACTGTGAGAAAGGAAACAACTGCTTACACACATGCCATCCCAAGTTATGGGAACAGCACCTATGCTCCATGGATACCTGGAACTTGGACTGTATAAAGGTGATACCCCCGAAAAACTACTCTGGGACCCCACCACTGAGAAAACCAGGGTGAAAAAGGACCAGCAGGACACTGAGGAATCAACAGGGTGGTGGTATCTTTCTACCTCATCTATCTCTCTCACTTTGTTTTTCTCCCCCCCTCTCTTCTCTCTCCCATTTCTTTCCATGTCTCTACCTCACATTTACTGTTAAATAAAATCCTTACTATTGACTTCAGCATGTGGTCTTGTTTGCACCTTAATTCAGGCAGAAGCATCTCTTTATACATGGATCATAACATTATTTTGGTGCAGCAAGCAGGGTGATGTTCTCTGACCCAAAATACCTTTGACAATAGTAATTTCCCTCTGTGGGAAATCTTGTGTAGTTCCTTCTGTGTTAACTTTTGCAAACTTTGCCATGAATTCCCTCTGAGGGAATTTGTGATTCCCTCTGTGGGAATTCTTGGAGAAAATGGCTGTCCTGTATTGCCAGTGCAAAGAAAATATTTTGTTGTCCTTTCTTGGAAAATTTTTTGGTTGCCCCTCTAACCCAGGGGTGGAGTTGGCATGAGAAAATTGGGATAGTGATAAACTGGTTCCTCAGAAATCTGAAGATGAAATAATACTATCTTTACAAGATTCGGTGAAATTGTACTATCAGTTAAATGAGGAAAATGAAAAAAGGCTGAAGGCAGAGGCATTGTTTGCTGCTGGGTTTGAAAAGAGGCGGCAAGCAGAGACATTGCTTGCTGCCGAGTGTGATAGCATTGAAAGGCTTCAGGCGGAGCTTTGGATGGCACATAAAAGAAAGAGAATCTTATGGAAAGAATTGCAGGATGTAGAAGGCCTAACATTCTCAGAAATACGGTCTCGTGACTCAGACCTTTTGTGTTCAGTGGAGGAGTTGGGAGATGGTGAGCGAGTCTATTGTTCTGATAAAGAACAAAATCTAATGTTTGCATTGACATCTAATGATAAGGAAGTACAATTACAACCCCTAATTAAAACTGAAACCACAAATTATTCCCAGGGTCAGTAAACTGCTATGAAAATTGTGCTGTGTACTGCTACCACGTCTGGCCATAAATCAGGCAAGACTGAAATCAAGTCAGTACTAATACAGTGGAATGCCAAGAGCTTAGGTATGCTTCCCGGGCAGCAAAGAGTTAAAATCACTGGAGTAAATGAAGTAAGAGTTATCTGACAAAGTGTTGAGGTTAATTTACGGATTCCAAGTGAGAAGTGGAAATCTGTTAATCTTAACCCTAAAAGAAACTCAGAGATTCCATTCCCTAATTCTGGTGTATCACAGTGCTGGATTTTTGTTGCAGTGTAAAATGAAATTTCTGAAGTTATAGTAAATTTGGCTCCACTAACAGCTGCATTATCAAATGTCTTAAATCTAAAAACCACAGTACTAGCATACACGTGTTTCCTGTGCTTTGGCAGTGGCAAGGTAGTCTTACACTTCCTTTCTAACTCTCTTATCTGGCCCATAACAATGCTTCACCTTTAACTGCTCCTATGCTAATCAGAGGAGACCCCGATACAGAAAAGCGGCAAAAATAAACTCCTTAACACAAATTTGTAGGTGTTAAAAAGCAGGCATTCTTTATTTAGTGATTTTTTTTTTTTTGTGATTTGTTTGTGTTTTCATTGAGAGCGCCTTGTTGGGAGACCAAATATTAGTAGGATTATATAAGACAAACCATTTTATGTATTGTTAGTTTGATTTTTGCAGAGTTCACTTTTTTTATGGAAAAAAAAAAGCTTTTACTTTTATCTTATGGATGGATAATTTTGTTTCAACCAATTGAGAATTGAGAATCAAATTTAGACTGGGAGTTGGTACAAGAATTTATGCATATTTGGAATCATACAAATATGATATCACATATTTACATATTACATACCATAGTCTCAGTCAGTGGTAAAGCAGAAAACAGCTAAACTCTATATAAATAAATTCTTTATTTGTATACAAATTCTTCATTTGTATTTCTTTCTCATAACATAATGAAAACAAAGCAGGACATGCACACATGAACTATGAACTTATTTGTTTTAGTTTGTTCTAAAAGGGTTTTCTTCTATCTTGTTTTTATTTATTTTTATATTGTGTTTTGTTTAATCTATTCTTCTACTGTTTGAAAATGAAGATGGAAGAACAGTAGGTTTTATAACAGTCACCAGCCTATTGAAAAAAGTGAAAACAATTTTAATTTACAGTTTCAGTTTCTGTGAAGATTTAAGAGAAAACATTTGGGAAATGCTTGGGAAAACATAGTTAAAAGATAACATATTTAGCTGAAAGAATATAAAGGCCACAGTTAAACACATAGATGTCACACTACTGTAAAGAATATAAATGAATCTTGCAAATCCAAATCTTCTCTCAGTGACAAGAAAACTCAACACTCCTCCTTCCAAAAGGACATGTACTAACTGTCTGCAACAACTATCCTTTATGGGGAACTTTCAAAGAAAAAATTAATCATATTGTAATAATGACTCTAAACCATACCCATTGTTAGTGAGTGATAGCCATCCTGACATCAAGTGCTAAAAAAATCCATACCCAGTCTCCTTAAAATTTAACAATTCTGGAGGAAAGGAAGTTTCTACAAATGCATATTATGACTTTTATAATTTATGGAATTTTACTCTAGTACTTATATAACAGGAGTCTGGAAAAAGATACAGATTTTTTTATTTAAGGATGGCTATGATTAAATTAGGGAAAAGGATTTTATACAACAAGGTTTAGGATAGTTTACCTGCTTCTTAATTCCATAATCATCACATGCTTCAGCTTTCATTTTTTCAATCTTTTCTTCTTGCTGTTTTGCTTCTTTTTCATACATAACTTTTTCTTTTGCCAATCTGCAATTAAACCAAGTGATTGTGTTAATATAGTTCAAATATGGTAAAAAGTTACAGAATTGAAAACAAAAGAAAAAACCCTGAAAGTTGCAGCCCTATATGATAATACACAGTTTTATAAAAAAAAAGGTTCTTAACCACTGCAAAAAACTGCATCTAGGAAGTGCTGAATTTAGCTATAATGTATAATCTTATAAAAATAATTTCAATTAAAAATATTTTTAAAGATTTTATGTGGGTTTATCCATATAGAATATCCTAAAAAAACTATATACCAGTACTTAATTTTAAATACATAATAAAAACAGATAGGAAGCTGCGTTGTAAATTGGGATGTCTGCTAATAGACATTAGTTCAGAGAAAGCTTTTTATCTCAAAAAAAGTTGTTACATCATAAGTAGCCAAAAAAACCTTAATATTAAGATGTCTGCAAAGGTAACACTCTTCCCATCAACTTCTAGATCACCATTTTCCAGACTTTCTCATCACCATCCAGACTCTGGTAATAAATGATGGACATAATTTTAAAAAAAAAATTATTATGTGTAAAAAAAAAAAAAAAAAAGGAAAAGCTCCTTCATGTTCACAACCTATGATTCCAAAATGGTTTGTTTTGGGTTTTCTTCCTGATCACAACTCCATGTCATGCCATTAAATGCAATATTTCCCATACTAGTTTTCATACACAATAACGAAAAGTAAAATTCCCAAATAACACAGTAGTCTCATAGTCTTGTGTTTTCTAGAGTATTTTCTGCATTTAACTTGATGCTGGTTTGAGAGTTATAGACAAAAATTTTATAATTTACATTAACACCAATTTTCTTTATTACTTATTTTTCAAAGGGAAAATAATCCATCTTTTAATCCCAGTAATGGACTCATATTTGGGAGTACCATGCTTTTTGCTATCAAGTGTAGATTCAAGAAGAATGCAAGAAATTTTGAAGGTCAGAGGGGAATATTAAGGAAGTCTAGTCTGCCGTTCTGCAGTAATTTTTACATTGCAATTCCATTATTAGGTTTAATTATTTTTTGTTATTGAAATTTTGCTACATATGTTCATCATGTATATGTTTGATTATATAACACTAGATTCCAACCAAAACACCCTTCAGTATCTGGAGAATGATGAAGTAATTCCTGATTAACTAACTCAAGACCAAAACAAACATTGAGATGGTAGTGCAAACCTGGGAGCAAGGAAAATCTTTCCCCAAACAAAAATAAGCCTATATCAGATCAGCCTATATTAGATAAGATTGTTTAAGAAGAACTCATCAACCAAAAGAATATAATCAGATGCAAGAATCAAAGAATATTATACAAATGAAAAGAGAATAAAAGTCTTGTAGAAAGTTTCTTGGTCACATTAGCACATCAGAGCAATTACGAATTAAGTAAGAATAGCTCAGTAGGTACCAGAAAAAGCCAGACCATAACTTGTTGCATTTCAAATACACAGACCATATATAGATGGAAAAACTTGCAACCATAATAAATACTGCAGGTGTAATTTAAGCAGACATTCCACAGTGTTGTATGAAATATAAGCTACAGTACCTTTAACTTTTAACTGCAAGAATTCAAAATCAAAAAAGTAAACAATGTATATTACCTATCATAGTGTAAAAGCCCCAGACTCACTTGACGAGTTTCTTAAAAGGGCTTAGGTTTTTTTATACCTGAGGCAGCGCATGGGAGAAATGCAACAACCTTCTCAGGAGGTTAAACAACAAACTTTTACTGGTAAACTTTAGAAAATGAGGGTACTTTGCAAATTTTAAAGCAAACATTCAATCGAAATAAAGCATTTCACAAGGCATTGAATTAGCAAACTCTAACGCAACTTTAAGTTACCCAGATTTCAAGAAGAGGAAATTAGGAGAAGAAAAGAAAGAGAGAGAGAGAGGGAGCAGAGAAAGATTAATAATCACCTCTTGAATTCCAGCATGATCTCAGCTGCTATAAAATCCAAATGGTGGGCCATGACCACTTGTGTCTTTGTGCTATTGCTTTTATCTGTTCTGGTCTCTTGGGGCCATCCCCCCAGGTGGGGCTTTCAGTGTGCCGGTGGCTAATAGCCATTCTGTAGCTAGACTAGAGACTTGAGAGGCAGGGGGTGTGGAGCAGTGTACCATCCCATCTTGGCAGAACTTGCCCTGCCCCCCCCCCCCTTAGTTGTTTTGAGCCAGTAATCATTTTCTCCAGTCCCTCACACAGTTATACTTGTCTGTGCTGGTTTTCACTGAGATAGGGTTAATGTTCTTCACAGTAGCTAGTATGAAGCTGTGTTTTGGAATTGTGCTGAAAACAGTGTTGATAATACAGAAATGTGTTTGTTATTGCAGAGCAGTGCTCACACAGCATCAAGACCTTTACCGGTCCTCATTCTGCCCTGCCAGCAAGTAGGCAAGGGGTGCACAAGAAGTTTGGAGGGGACACAGCCAGGACAGCTGACCCTAATTGACCAAATTGAAAATTGAGCAGCTGCAGAAACAGTTACAGGAAGAAAAGAAGAAAAAACAAAAACTGGAAGAAAAGGTAGAGGTGATGCTTAAGCAAGGTGTCTATCCACCCAGCATTGTACAGAAAACTAATTGTATCCCCTGAAGAATGGGGTAGAAACATATGGCATGATCCCTGTGATAACAAACTAGGGAAAATTTATTATTTAATAAAGTAAAAATAATTTATTCTCTAATAAAGAATGGGCAACCAGTGAGGAGGCATCAGTGGCAGTAGTGGCAACTGAGGTAAGTCCAGGGGTGAAGGTTAAATTGAGCTGTACAGGGGAGTTCCTGAGCTTAGGGACACCCAAGCAGCAGCCCAGAGCCCTGTCAGGACCCAGAAGCCCTCCCGAGCCAATCAGTCAAGGAGGGGGAATTGCCAGGAGCACTGTAAGAGATTTAAACAGCTCTAGGGAGCAAGCGACCAGGGTGGACAAACAGGATGTGGTGCGGCAGTTTGTGCGGGCAGGGCATGCAGGGAGGGTGCTGCAATCTGCAAGTAGGTCCACAGCTCAGGTAAGTGCTAAGTGCTCTAGGTCTCTGCCATAATGGTGGGCACTCGCCTTAGAGCCAAAGCCTATGTGTCTACTGAGACAGCCCCTGAGAAGTCTGATGCTTCTACCCAGAGAGAACTGGTAAGGAAGGAGATGTCAGTACAGGTCGTAGCTTGCAATGGATGCCCAGATACTTCTGGAGAAAAGGCTAATACCTGCACAGAGTGTGCACAGGTTAATGACCTGTTGCGGTAGGTGGCCAAATTACAAGAGACAGTTAATAGGTTGTGCAGTATTAGAGAGGCTGAAATGGAGATAGATCCGTGGCTTTGGAACCATATACCTACAATGGATACCACTGAGCCTGAGACAGCTTGGACCCTGGTGACCCACAAAAGCAAGGCTCCAATTCAACCTCCACCCTCCAACATCCAGACCAAAACCAAATATTAAGCTTTAAAGACTCTAGACATCCATGAGCAAGGCCAACAATGAGAAGCTGTACCAGCAGAGCACAGTGGTTTATCATAAAAAGAAATATTCAGTGGGTGACTCTCTATTAAGGGGCACTGAGGCTCCCAACTGCTGGACTGATAGTCATGAGAAGTATGCTGCCTACTGGGAGCTAAGGTCCATGATGTTGCCAAGAGGCTACCCCAACTTGTCAAGAGCATGGACTACTACCTACTACTACTTTTTCATGTGGGTACAAATGATGCCACAAGCCAAAAAATGGGAAAGATCAAGGAAGACTTTAAAGCCCTGGTGATGTAGGTGAAAAATATCAGTGCCCAACACATCTGCTCATGTATCCTACTGGTCAGAGAAATGGGGACAGCCAGAAGCAGATGCATAGTACAGATCAATGTCTAGCTTCGTGGCTGATGCCATCAAGGCTTTGGCTTGTACTTTAATGATTGTAGCCTGTTAGGGAGGGATGGGATCCACCTGTCTAAAAAGAGCAAGAGAATCTTTGGCAGTAGGCTGACCAATTTGACAAGGTGGGCTTTTAACTGAAGGACTCGGGGGATGGGGTCCAAAGTGGCAATGCTCATGTCATGGCTTTCCCCTGGGGAGTAGGCCATGCCAACCAGAGCAGTCACAGATGTTCCTTGGCTACCTCTCAAGATGAGAATCATAGGACTAACCACAGCAAGGGTGTGTATGGCTATGGAGAATCCTCTTACACCCCTTCTAAGGAACCTGCATGCTTGATTATCTCTCTGAAGTGCCTGTACACAAATGCTCACAGTATGAGAAATAAACAAGAACCACAAATCTATGTACAGTCCCAGGGCCATGATCTCATTGCAATTACTGAGACATGGTGGGATAGCTCATGACTAGAATCATAGAATCATAGAATCATAGAATCATAGAATCATAGAATTAACTGGGTTGGAAGAGATCTTTGAGATCATCGAGTCCAACCCTTGATCCAACCCCACTGTGATTACTAGATCATGGTACTCAGTGCCACATCCAGTCTCATCTTAAAAACCTCCAGGGACGGTGAATCCACCACCTCTCTGGGCAGACCATTCCAATGTCTGATCACTCTCTCTGTAAATAACTTCTTTCTAATATCCAACCTAAACCTCCCCTGGCAGAGCTTAAGTCCGTGCCCTCTTGTCCTATTGCTGATTGCCTGGGAGAAGAGACTGACCCCCACCTGGATACAGCCTCCTTTCAGGTAGTTGTAGAGAGTGATGAGGTCACCCCTGAGCCTCCTCTTCTCCAGACGGAACAACCCTAGCTCCCTCAGCCTCTCCTCATAGGACTTGTGCTCAAGTCCCTTCACCAGCCTCGTTGCTCTTCTCTGGACCTGCTCCAGCACCTCAATGTCTTTCCTGAACTGAGGGGCCCAGAACTGAACACAATACTCCAGGTGTGGCCTCACCAGTGCTGAGTACAGGGGCAGAATCACTTCCCTCATCCTGCTGGCCACACTGTTCTTGATGCAGGCCAGGATGCCATTGGCCTTCTTGGCCACCT